TTTTGCTTTAACCCAGTTAACAGGAATACCACCCATGAAAAACAGAACAGGAAATGAGGCCTTTTTTTTCCTTAATCCACCCATTCATTTGCTAATTTTTGTAGCACTTCTTAACAGTCTTGCTCAAGATCAAATACTTTGTTCAGAATCTTAGCTGCCATTCAGTTGCAGTTTAATTTGTATAGTGGTTATTAACTATCGTTGCTTAGTGATTATTAACCATTGTCTAAACATACTTTAGCATTCAAACAATATAGAATAAGTATATACGTAAAAAAAGTCATTAATAAACTTAATTTCTCTTACTGTACTCTGCATTACTCATGTCATTTTGTCCATTTGAGCCTGAAGCGTTCTCTACAGTGTATTATCAGTCTTGGAATAAATAGGGTAGTAAAAATTATTTAGTGATATTAGCTAGTACTTTTTAACCTAAAGGAATCAATCATTTATCTGAAACTAACTTTAGTACAATTAAGCTGTCCTTTCCATCAGATACACATTGAGTTCTCAACACAAAGGTAATAATGTTCGGATAAAGCTGTTCTCTAACACAGCTTGTGTGTTCCTTACAATTGCTATTCAGACCTGAGGATAGACACAGAAATTTGAATTACAGAAATACATTTTGCCAGTTCAGTTAACACATTTTACCAAATGCAAGCTGAAAAAAGTTCAATTTTCAATGCATACAGAAATAGCTTCACTGAAAACTGCTGTGAAAAAAATATCTGTATCAACAATAAATGGGTTATATGTTTAAAGCGTTTACTTCAGTGGCTTAACAGCCTGTTCTAAATATATTGCCCAGTTTTAGAGCTAACCAGCTAGGGCTTATCATCAAATTGAATGGTCATTACAAGCGTCAGAACCACCCACCCCTTATCAAACATAAAAACCAGCCAAAGTTATAGAAAGGATAATACATATTTTCCTTAAAAGGGAGTGAGGAGGTAAACCCTACCAAAAGAAAGTGTGTCAATACTTGAGAATGTTACTCATTTCCTCGAGGCAACACCACGCGGTGCTGCACTGCCCACGGATGGAGTGGCTGCGGCACTGTAGTTCCAGACAGGGCTAAAGCTATTTTACATGGGAGAACAACATTTGAAAGCCACCGCTTACTAAGAAGTAGTTCCTCCCTTGTTAAAGGCATCTGATATTTCTCTTTCACCTACTTTCAAGTAAAAGCCAGTTGTCATTACAGCAGAAGCATTCCAGCTCCAAAGTCCTTTGTGGCCCAAGGAGGCTGGTGCCAAATCCGCCCCTGCCTCGCTGCCCTCTGACCCTACCTGCGCCTGCACTGATGTCAAAGCAAGAGACGTTTGTTCCTCTCATCAGGAATCACATTTATGATTTTGATTCAGGGCAAGATGAAGGCTATATTTTTGTTTACGTATAGCAAAATACCTCTTTAACACTGGACTCCAGACTTTTAACTACTTTTGCTTGGAACTAGAAATGGTTTGCCAGCACCCCGCCTATCTGCACTACACATGCTTGGAATTAATTCAAATTAAAATGACTTTGTGTCTATATGCATGAAATTGACTCTACAATATTAATCCCTGAATCTATTCCTTAAACAGCAAAACCAAAATCACAGCCATGTTTAATGCATAGGCTAAATTCCAGTCAACTTCAACTGCAAGATTTTGAGCTACAATTTTTCATCTTTGGTTTACAAATAAAATGCAGCAAGAACAGCCTTTTTCCTCAGACATCATTAATCACCTCATATTTGTAACTTACATGAGGTAATACCTGAATGTGTTCTCAATAGGTGAAGATGGTTGCAAGTAACCTGGAATAATTAAACGATTAATGATTTCAGAATTATTAAATGATCAGCTGATTTCTGTTACAGGGATTAAAATGTAATTTCTCTTGGTTGTCTTTATGTGCCATAAAATTGGTAAAGAAAAAGGATCTCTCAGCACACTTTTTTTTTTCCTAGAAGGTTAAGAGTTCCCATTTTTTAATATTTTCAACAACTTTTCTTCCCAGAAATCCCAGGTCATGAAGTTCCTGGAGCCTATCTTACCTTTCCCCTAAGTATTAGTTTGGCGGGGGATGGGAGGCGCATCAAGTTCTGAATTAGAGAAGAACTGCAGTTAAGTTTCAGCCTTAGGTCAAACCAGTATTCTGAGGATCTTGCCAAAACCCTCCAGCAAATAAGATGCCTATAAACTCATAAGTTATTTTTTAGGAGCTTAGAATGACTTATTAAATCCCAGTAAGGGATAAAAAGATTTTTTTCTTTTCTTACAAAGGATTACACAATTAATTAACTAAAAGAATGGGAACACGAAATTAAGTTTGGAAGTATCAGGTACTCTGGCCTTCTGTGGGTATTTTGTGATACTTTTGCTGCCATAGCTCAGCCTAGGTCTTCTGGCTCAGCTTCCAAATTCTATGTTCTCCACCTCCATGTCATCTGCCTCTTCCTCCCGTTCTCATTAAGATGAAGCACTATCTTATGATCTCCTGTATGACATTATAGGTCTTCATCCTATCACTATGACCAAGACTTGAGTAACATTGTTGCCAGAGGTGGTTTTGATGAACAATTGTA